TCAGAATTGATTTTTTCCTCGATGTACTTCTGTAGATAGAAAAGGGGTGAATAGAATGAATATGAATGGACTATCATCACAATTAATGAAAGGAGCAGAGAAATTAGTAAATTCATTTAAACACTGACCAGTACAACTAGATTCTGAAAAGGCTGTATGCTTGAGGAAACCATACTTGCGATCTTCAAAAAATGTCAAAAAAGAGAATCCCTTAATATTCAGATATGCAGAACACCTTAATAAGAAAAATAAAAAACATCTGAAATAGTAAAATAGTCCCTGTCCTGTTCAGATTTTTCTATTTAAGCCCTCCTACTTTAGTCGTTCTATATCATCCTTTATACTTTCAAATACTTCCACTTGACACTATTAAAAGTACGGCTAAGTCAAGGCCACGTGGCATTAACTTGCCATGCATTGATGATGTGAAAATTTTTGCACACCATCATCCCTGTGACCAGAGGAGAGAAACAAATTTTGTGCACAAAGCTTCTCTTTCCTCTCTCTCCTCAAGCTTCTCTCCCCTCTCTCATCGTCCATTGTCTGCTTTTCAACTCTCCCTCTCTCCTCTTAGCTTTTCTCCTCAATCAGAGCTCTCTCTCTCAAATTTTTGTCATATAATGCCATGGACTTCTTTCTTTCTTCTCTTCTTTGTAATCCAATCATCTCGTAAACCAGAAGAACACAGATCATCATGAAGCTCGGAGATATCTTCACTCATCTGGTGGGCTGACTGAGCCACTACTTGCATGTGGTTGTGGGTGGGTTGCCAAACACAGGGCGCTGATTTACCGGTTCTTCTAACAGTGCTAAGTGAAAGTACTTGTTTAAAAGCAATTGAAAGTATAGAGGCTAATAAGGAGACAACTACGTTTAACTGGATCGAAAAAAGAATCAACATTGTATGTGAAAGAAGGCAGATCTATGTCTAATCACCATGTGATCGATCAACGAAGAATTTGTTTGTCATATTTATAGCTCAGTGCTGATGGTCTATCTATGATTTCATTACACAATAAATCCTACAAACAACTGGAATTTTCATCCACAAATTTTGACAGTCATCAGCTCGAATATACTTAAAACTGTCAGCGAAAAATCAGCTAGAACAAAACATAAACAGCAAAGCCCAAGCAAAATATCTTACTAGCTTCAAATAGAATGAAGGGAGGAACAAACTATGCTGCTTCCTTTGACTCACCATAGAAGTATATGTAAATTTACTTTCTTAAAGTAAGAAGGCGAATTGTTACCATAACAGAAAACAGATTGCAGCAAGATGCAGGTTATACCTGGTAATTAATGGCCCTTTTCTGAAGATCCTGTGGTAACAGCGAATGCTCGGGGTACTTCTCTTCCAAATACTAGACAATTAAGGAGAAAACTTAAGGATATTAGACTCAAATTACGATGCAAGAATCAGCCCCAGATTGAAATTTGCAGCAACAATTTCAGAAGATCTCGAAAACTAAGATAGTCAATTACTTGTAACCAAGTAGAACAAAAGACCAAAAAAAAAAAGCTATTGGCACGTGACTCACCATTATAATAGCCAAAGAGTCAGACACAACAACATCGCCATCCATCAGGGTAGGCACAAAGCCAAGAGGATTGAGCTTCGTAAAATCTGAGAATCAAAAAGGAAATGAAGCTGCAAACCGAGCAGAAAACGATGAAAGGAAGTTTAAACAAGATTACCAAGGGAATCAATTACCAGGACTGAATTGCTCCCCCTTCAATAAGTTCACCGGTACGTACTCGTACTTTATCCCTGCAAATGAACCCGATTTAACCCAAAAAGACAAACAGAAACGTAAATCAAAGAGGAAGAAGTTGAATACCTTTCAAGTTAAGCGCAATACGAACCCGCTCGGAACATGAGCTCCTCCAGTAGAGTAGAGCTTGAGCTTCTTCTCATCCTGTTTCAGTGAATTCTCCAATACTCCATCAATCAATTCTAATTATTGAAAACAAACTAAAAAAAACAGAAACAATATGTGAATGAACTACCATG